TATTTTGAGTGTGTTCCAACCCTGGGGAGTTCATCTTCCAACACTATAGCTGACATTTTGATGCTATTCATATTGCTTCCATCTTCTGGCCCTAGATCAGACAATGTTCTTTTGCTATTTGTAAGCTTTTCAATGGTTAAACATTCAGAAGTAGTCTGTCTCCCCTTCTTCCTATTCTGCTTTAGTCTGGAAGCTTCACTGAAACCTGTCTACCATGAGTGACTCTGATGGTTTTTAAAATATCAGTGGCATAGCTTCCAGCATCACAGCAATACGCAAGTCACCATAGCATGACAAACTGACAGACAAGTTGTAGTGGTAAATGTACAGATGTCAAATCATTTGCTATTTCAGTAATCTACAGCTGTACAGTTCATTTCGATTTTTAAATGTTCAAGGAAAAAGAAAAGTTTGCCTCCTGGCAACAAAACAGAAAGATAAACTACAATCACAATAATTAGACAAACCTCTATCTTGAGAACTTGCTCAGATGAATTGAAAAGTAAATAACATGAGCTCAGTGCCCAGAAGAGTAGGAGAAATAAGGCTTTGACTAATTAGTTAATATCTAACTCTGGTCTAATTTGTATACCATGATTAGAGATGAAATTATGCTTGCATACATTAAGGAACTTTGAAACCAACAACAACAAAAACACCATTGCCTTCAAGTTCAATTAATAGTGCCCCTATAAGATGAGGCTTTCTGCTTCCATAAAGATGTACAGCCTCGGAAACCCTGTACAGGGTTGCTATGAGTCGGAACTGACTCCACGACACATAACAACAACATAGAACAGAGTAGAACTGCCCATGTGGGGTTACCAAGGCCATAATCTTTACTGAATCAGCTGGTGGGTTTAAATGGCCAACCTTTGGTTAGCAGCCAAGCACTTTAACCACTGCACTACCAGGGTTCCTAAGAGTTTTGAAAGTCTCTCTAAAAAGAACATAATCTCTCTGTCCCCTTCCCTATCCCTTTCTTGTCAAATCTCCAGCCACATAGTGGAGCAGGTCAGTGGTTGGTAAGAGAGCTGACTTTCCAGGGTCCTCTTCCTCTTGCCTTCATGGGACCTATAGCACGCTGATCTAGCTTAGGTGGATCAACTTCTTTTGCAAGCTTTCCGGTGCGGCTTCAGTTTCCTGTCTTTTATAGCTGTTAGGAGAAATTTTAGGATCAACTTTGGGAAAGAAAAGATTCCTCAGGCCACATGCTCTTTTCCCCAGAGAGTTCTGTACATTGGGGCTTCAGCTATATAGGCTTAGCCAACAATAAAATGCTTCCTTTCCTTATCCATTGACTGTAGTGAGCACACTTCCTAATTTTACCTGCACAATTTTAGTTTAACCCTGTGGAACCAGTGTAATTATTAATAGCACTGTCAGGTGTTCTGGCTTGGAGGACAAACTATGTGGCTGCTTTACTATGTAAGTATCTCTTCCTGGATTGTACCAGGAAGAAGTGATCTAGAATAGAATTTGGATATTTCTTAATGATCAAATCTCTGATTTACAGTGTTTCTAAGAGAAACTAAAAATACCAGCTACTCATTAGTGTCTGTAAGAAGCTGTGGTAGTGTCGTGGTTACAAATTGGGCTGCTAATCTCATGGTCAGCAGTTCGAAACTACTAGCTGTTCCATGGGAGAACGATGAGGCGTTCTGCTCCCATAAAGATTTACAGCCTCAGAACCCTGTACAGGGTCACTGTGAGTCAGAACCAACTCCACGACACATAACTACAACAACAACAACAATACTGTGTGTGCTGGGTCCCCTGTCTGTGGGATTGCTATTCACAATGACGATTTTCTCAAGAAATGGCTAAGTACCTATCCAAAGTGTGTCTTGTGACAAACAGGGATAGTTGTCAAGCACTTTTGAGAAATAAGTACTAAGAGATTAATAAGTCTCTTACTACATATTGAGTAAAAAGTCCAAGTGGTCGGTTAGGTAGAACTTGAATTCCAATATCTCCTTCTTGTCCAGGAGGGAGAACGTTGCCATTTACGTCTAAAATCTAGGACAAAACAGACAGTTTACTTAAAGGAATTTTTATTTAATGCCACATATAAAACCTTTATTTTATTTTATTTTTTTAAATCATTTGAGAATACAGATTTCAAAAACTGATAAAGACATTGAAGACCTCCACAAGGTTTATAGATGCTTGACCATAGTAAGATAAAGCTAGGATAAGGTCTAGAGCAGCTCATGAGCTTGAACTGCCAACCTGGCAAATAGGTTTCTCTGCTGGTGTGGTGCTGTAGGATCAGCACTGAGCTGCAAACCACCAGGTTAGCAGTTCAAACCCACCAGCTGCTCCTCAGAAACCCTACACAGAATTGCCATGAGTCAGAAGTGACTCAATGGCACTTAACAACAACAATAACAACTGTTTAAGGAAAATATACCTAAGGTTCTAACAAAGAGGAAGCGCTCCATGATGCCATGGATCTAAGTTCAAGGTTGGGTTGCCTTAGAACCACCTTATGACTGTGACTCAAGATCACATGATCATGAGTAAACCTCAGTCACCACATAGCCAACTAATTAATAAAACCCCAGAACCTTTAGTCACTACGTTTATGTATTCCAGTCCTTCTCTGCCTTTGACAAAGATGAACTAATGCCAAACGCTAGTGGGTCCCCTCTTGTCTACTCTCAGCCCCTGTGCTATTTCCTTTATAGCATCTGTCACTTTTACCACACTGTTGTTATGAAGAGTCATCGAGTCAGTTGTGACTCATAGCAACTTTTCCAAGGAGCGGCTGGTGGGTTTGAACCTCTGATCTTGTGGTTCAAACAGACTATGTGGTCCGGTGCTTTACCCACAGCGCCACACTCATTGCTCTGTCCCATTGGATGCTAAACTCCACGGTGCCTGAAACAGGACAGGTTTTTATGCAAATGAGCATTTTCCTGGTTGACTTGTGTGCTTACTTTATGTGCTGGATTTTGGCTCTAAATAACTGTCAGCTGTTTCTAATATCCAACTCTGCTGTTGTGTACATCCACCAGGTACCTTCAAATATGAAATGTGGTTTGAGTGTAACCAACGAAGCCAGTTGCCATTGAGCTGATTTTGACTCAGGGTGGCCTCCTTCCTGTTAAACAGAGTAGAACTGCATTCCAGAAAGTTCTCAAGGCTGTGGCTTTCAGAAGCAGATCATCCAGACTTTCTTCCCAGGTACCTCTGAGTGGGTTCAAATAGTCAAGCGTACGATTAGAAGTCAATTGCTTCATCGTTTGTGCCACCTGTATTAAGTGCTATTGCGTTGGTTCCGACTCACAGTAATTCCAAGGCTGTAAACCTTTATGAAGGAGCATAGTGGTTACGAGTCGGACTGCTAACCTCAAGGTCACCAGTTCGAAACTACCTCAGGAGAAAGATGAGACGTTCTGCTCCCGTAAAGATTTATAGCTTCAGGAAACCCTGTACAGGGTTGCTAATGAGTTGAAACTGACTCCACGGCACATAACCACCTCCACTAAAGTTTTGCAAGAGCAGAAAGTTTAATTTTTCTTCTGCAGAGCAGCTGGTGGTCTTGAACTGCGGACCTTGTAGTTCACAGTCCAGTGCTTATCCTACAGAGCCA